CGAAGTCCCGATCTGAATCAAATGATCCGCGATACACGCTTCGAAGTCCCGATCTGAATCAAATGATCCGCGATACACGCTTCGAAGTCCCGATCTGAATCAAATGATCCGCGATACACGCTTCGAAGTCCCGATCTGAATCATTTGATTTGCGCTCCGAAGTCCCGATCTGAATCAAATGATCCACGCTCTGAATATATATGTGGGATATGTGAATAATGGCGATAAAAAATAACCACAACTAGACGAAAAAAAAAATTACACAGACAAGAAATCTTAAAAATGAATGCCAAACACTTGCTAATGTTACATACTCTTTTCATCTGTAGAGTTTAAGACACAGGATTCACCAATAACAATATAAAGAAAAGGCACGAACGAAATCACATAATAAAACACATACACATATGTTCATTATTTCCTATAATATGTGTGTTGTTAATTTAACCACAGGTGCAACAGTAAGTGAAATTCTTGAGTGCAGTACAGCAAAACACAAAACACGCATATACACAAAACAGATGTAATTACACATTATACACTTACACAGAATACTTTATTTATTTAATTGAAACGTTTACGGATTTACGTGTTAAGAGCAGTCGATCTCGGATCGTCGAGACCTTTATTTTGACAGCGTCGCTGCGTCACGGAGCGCGCTCGCTGAGCGGAAGTCACTCTGACGCGCTTGTTGACAGGTTCCGGCCCGCGCTCTTCCGCTCTGCTGTGCGCCTGAGTGTCAGATTGCGATTATTAGTTATTGATTATTGGAATATCAGTCTGTAATATCGACGACTTCAGCCGCAGCTGGATCCGACCACAGCGGTGAACATGATAAAAGCCATTCTGATCTTTAATAATCATGGCAAACCACGACTGTCAAAATTCTACGAGCATTACGTGAGTAAACCATTCGCTCCTTATTATTATTATTATTATTATTATTATTATTATTATTATTACTGAATGACTTAATGCTTTACACGTTACTCTGTGTTACATGACGTGTGTTGTTGTGAATAATTGAACAGCTGATTTGTCAGAAATACGTTAAATATTTGGCGGGTTGTTCTTACAGCTGAAATATTAACCATACATGGATTATGAAAAGGAAAACATGCCCTGAAATCTGTTGTCATGGAAGAATAATTGATTTTTGCCATGAAGACTAACAGAGAGAGAGTGTGTGTTTGTGTACATACACTGCTGTTCAAAAGTGTGGGATCAGTAATATTTGTAATGAGTTTTTTTCTTTCTTTCTTTTTATTTTGAAAGAAATGAATGCTTTTATTCAGCAAGGATGTGTTAAATTGATAAAAGGGATAATAAAGACTTATATTGTTAGAAAATATTTATATTTTGAATACATGCTGTTCTTTTTAACTTTACTCATCAAATAATCCTGAAAAAGTATCACAGGTTCCATAAAAATATGAAGCAGCAACAGTTTCCAGCACTGATAATAAATCAGCATATTAGAATGATTTCTGAAGATCATGTGACACTGAAGACTGGAGTAATGATGCTGAAAATGTATATGAGCGTGTGTATGAGCGTGTGTGTGTATATGAGCGTGTGTGTGTGTGTATATGAGTGTGTGTATGAGCGTGTGTGTGTGTGTGT